GGGGGTGCCCATTAACCACCCCTTGTGGGTCCTGGTATGTATATATGCATATGATGTTCTAAGTGTGCTGTTTTCCCTTGTCAAGAGTCTTGCGGGCCATGTTCTAAGTGTGCTTGATGTTCTAAGCTCGATGTTCTAAGTAAAGGACTTTTCATTTTGAAAAAATGATAATGATGTTCTAAGTGCAGTATTTGTTTGCGACTATAAGACCGGATCAGTATGGGCCGGGGATTCCAAGTTGTGCGGGGGATTCCAAGTTCAGTCCATCCAGTGAGGATCTGGAGGCATTCCTACCCTCCCCAGGAATCCGTGGGATTTATCTACCTATATATACATATGTAAGTAGATGTATCAGGACTATCCAAGGGGTCTCCAATGTACTACCCTACACTACTTTGGAATCTCCGTTGGACCCCATTGGGTCCTTATGTTCGACCACTAGATGTGTTGGTCGAACATCTGGGGTCTTTAGGTTCAAGAGCTCGGATAGTAGATGTTCACAGAAGTTGCCCATAGCTTCATGCATAGTGTGTTTAGACCGAAGGCCTTGCCGCCTAACTTTGGCCCTTGTGACAGAGTTAGTAGTAAGATGTAGTAAGTATGCTCAACTTGGGCCTATTATATAAAGGCTCATTCAGATTGGATTCTCATTGGGGCAATGTGGGAGGGTCTTGGACGAGTCTTACAGGCAGGTGGAAGTTTCATTCAAAGATCCAACAAGATGATTTGTTCCAAAAGATATTGTCACATCCCAAACCTATCAAGAGAGGAAATTCTTAGACCTTTGGGAAACTCTTAGATCCAATCCGGAAGATCCACTCCACTCAGCTCCGCACCTTGCAGTGCGGATTTTTCCTTCGAACTTTTCAACTGAAAAGGGCCTGGCCTTCGGCCTTGCGCTTGGACCCCAAAACAGGGCTGCAAGGCATGGCCCGATAGACCAAATCCGGGGGTGATCCGAACGGCTAGTCCCAAAGATCGGGATCGCGGTCAAAAAGAGTTCGACCAGGTCTGGAATCAAAATCTATGTCGACATGTATGTTGTGTGTGTGATTGGTGATGATTGGTGTGCTTCAGATGCTGAGCAGAAGGTTTGTTCGCTCTAGATTCTAGATACACAGCTTGTTTTCAGATAAAACCATCGCCAATTGCTTGTCTGACCTAAGCTGGTTTGTTGCTTGGGTTGATCATCCAATTCAGTCCCAGTCGGTGCATGTTAGTTGCTATTTAGATCAATTTACCCACATATCATCCACTGTTGGAGGGAATAGTATCCACCAAGTATATATTGCCACATTGGTGTTAGTTCAGAGTTAGAAGTTAGAAGGTGGAAGCCTTTGCACGTCGCTTGTTTTATTTGTCTCTAGTCTGGACTGCAAAGTTTTCATGACCCAGATCCCGGAGCTGATGAATGAAGCAAACCTTGTTTGCCAATTGCCTGCGCGGGTGATTCACGAGTAGACGAAAACCGCAGTAGTCTAGAAGCAAGCTGTTTAGCTGTTTACCTATCTGGGGGAAATCACAGGTTTGCTCCCGAGCGAAATGAAAGGGTCAAAAGGAGCTGCAACAAGAGGCTTGAGGCTTGGTGACCTTTTGCATTTGTTAGATTACTACAGATGTGTTGAGAAGCGAGATGTTCAGCACCAACAAGCTGACATGACATACATGACATGTTCTCTCGGGACCAAACGGAACCTCCTCTTGAGAATCTACAGCAAACAGCTTGTCTACTGTTATTTGTGACCATAGGGACACGCAAACTCGACTAGTGAAAACACAAGGATAAGGATGTCAGAAGCCACCACTGTCAAACGTAGAGCAAGGAACATGATCAGCGCCACGTGTAGGCTCTTGCTCACTATGATTTGCGGCTTCCTCCTAAGGTTGATGCAATATCCTTATTAGCTGGGGTTGTAGAGCAGCATATCAGGCTTTCAGCCATAGCATCATCCTAAATCCGTTTTGGGTGCAAACAAGCATAGAAGGCTAAACATGTAAGAAGCAGAGCCAGGCCAGTCAGAGTAGAGTCTTCCCCGCCCGCAACTTAGCGCCAGGCAGACAAGAATGTTAAGGTTAGGCTAGGTTAGGCTTAATGCTGCTTTCACCAACTGTACCAAGAGCCTGAAAAAAGGCACTTGGCCACGAGCCTGAAAAGGGCACGGAATGCACCATGCAGACCAAACTCAAAGAAAGCATCGAGGGCGACTGACCTGAACTTTACAGGAAAAGGACAAGAGCTTGCTTTTCACAAGGTGAAACTTGGCGTTGGCTCCGACCATACTTCCTCAAGCCCCCCATTGACAGTACTGGTATTCTCGGTTTCAAGCCCTATGGCAGTTAGTTTGGACTGGCTGGGGAATTGTCCCAGAGTGGAAGTGATTGGAAGCGATCGACAAGTTTGAGTCAGCTTCCTAAGGCTCGAAGACTCCACTCCCATAAGGCTCGGATACTTCTCACATCTCAAACGGCAGGGTCGACCAAGTCTAGGCAAGTCCGACCAAGTCCGAGTCCGGAATGGGGTGGATGTCGAAGATCGATGAACATCGAGATCTGGGCCTAAGACCGCATGAGCGGTTCGCTGGAAACCCGGCTGTTTGGCTGGCGAGGTGGTGAAAAGACTGCGACCCGGTTTCATGTGATGCTCTTCGAGATGTACAGAGTGCCAGTGATGCCAGTGTTTGGTTCAGTGTTTGGGGTGGGTTGGCAAGGTTTGTGTGTAATTCTCTTGGTCTTGGTTGCGAGATATGCTTTGATCAATCATGATTGATCTATGCCGGTCTATGTCTATGTTCTTCACTTCTTCTACTTAGACTGTCCAACAACTCGGTTTCTAGTGGTTGGGATGAAGGTTAAGTCACCTTCTAAATCAACAGCGAACTCATTAGAAGACTCGAGTTCTTGGCTGATTTTGGCAATCCCGGTGTGCAAATTCGAGCACACTATGTTTAGCTTGAAGACCCCAAGCTGTGCGGGATCAATCCACATCCACTTGTTCATGCTCACCCAGACTCTCAGACTCAAAGCATGGACCAATATTGAATAATGAGTACTATTATTGATATCTATTACTAATATGTATTACTAATTGCTATTAAATATGAGTCTGAACATTCGTTGGGCTTTCGACCTTGCTCTAGATGTTGCACTATGTTGCCACCCAATTCTTACGAGGTCCTACTAATCATACAATTCAATTGATTTCATTGCATTGGAAAAACGTGGCAAAACGACCCCACCCACACCGGGTGACACGACCCACACAGAACGTTCTCCCCGTTGGCGTTCACCAGCGGAACCCGCCAGCGGAACCGGGCGAGGTGCGCAGCTTGACCCAAGAGAACCAACGACTCACCCGAAGTCTGCAGGAACTGGAGGTGCCCGTCGCTACGAACGGAACAAAGGGGCATTGCTACGTACTCGGAGCGATCGGACGCTACGAACGTGGCGCTCCTGGCCTTACTACTAGGAACAAGGACGCTACTAGTAGCAAGGACGCTATTAGGTGGAGGAACTGGAGGTACCATCGACCTGGACCGCTCAGCAAAAGGAGACCGACTAGGAGTCCAAATTGGAGAGTCGACCTTGGTGTGATTTGCTGGAGAGTCGACTGGGATCCTCGGTTGCCCTTCAGAAATATCCCCAAAAAACAAGCCTGTAAAGAAGCATGAACAAAGCTGGGATATGCTGGGATTGAATATTTCAAGCTTTGGACACTGGTAGATGGATACCTCGAGTTTTCATTTCTGTTGTGTTGGTTTCCATCCACCCTTAGGAATCACCGTTGCGAACGACACCCCCGAAGACCAAACTCCTGTGCGTGTGCACCTCATTTTTGGACCCTGAGGTTTAATTCTTACCGTTTTCACCTGAGGGGATTGAATGGAGCGAGAGGCGTTCAATTGACAGCTGAGGGTTTTATGAGTAGCCTGCATGTTGTTCAAGAGTTTAGGCGTTGATTGTCGGCATGCAAGAGGGTACTGAAGCAGTTGTTTCTTGACGCCTGTGCTTGGCAGCCAACACAACTACAGGCAAAAAATAAATGTAAGGTTTCGACACCAAACCAACAAAGTTAGTGCTCCTGCAACAAACTTGGGGTACGTCAATTCTGTATCCACGATGTTTCCATTTCAATCATGACTTAATTGTACAATTGTAAGTTTAATAGAGCTTGGGCGTCAAGGTCAGAAGCTGCTATAGATTCTGTTGATTAGATGTGGAGCCAGCCATGATGGTCCAAGTTTGGGACACATTGATTTAAGTTGTGATCATTTGTTTGTTTTGATGTTTTATGTGCTCTTAGATCCACTGGGACTGCTTCCTGATGTTGAAACAATGTGTTTTTTTTTCCATAGAGCGTCTAATCAAATCTTACCAATCCTCCAAGTGATCCATATATCACTGAAAAAAAGGTGCCCGTTGTGAGTGGTTGGACTTCAGCAGACACATCCAGGAACCATCCTGCCACAATCAATTCGACAAAGCAACGAACCAAACAAATACGATAAAATTGCGCCAGCATAGACCCCATGAGAGCAAAAGATATTTGTGGCAGCATGACACCAGCACCCACTCTCCAAATCGCGCACTGCCATAAACATTTGGCGGCACCCTGCGGCTTAAAACGACACCAACACACAGGCTCCAAAGCCCAAGCAGCAACCCAGCAGCATTCCAGATGTCTTCTTTGTCTTTCTTCTATGACGCAGGATGACCTATTCGAAGTTCAACCAGCACCCAAGCTCCAAAGCACACATTGCCACACACCTGGCAGCGGCCCCTTGCAGCGGCACCAGCACCAGCACTCAGGCTCCAAAGCGCACACAGGCACCATCAGGCACCTATTCCCAAACTTGAAGTAAGAACCCCAATAGCTCTGATTATTTTTAAATCACCATGCTGCTAGTTTCTTTCCTTCGACATGTTGGGCCTTGTTTGTTGCTCCGCGAGACAATCCTTCGAACTGCCCCCGATCGGATCCCATCGTCGGGAGAGGGCGTCGAGCTCAATGCCTTGAAAGCAAAGAACCTGGAACTTGTGGGATGCCAAGTGAAGAGAAAGGAACTGGTGAGCCTGCGTTTCCTCTCAGGGATTTGGGCCCTGACTGTAAGGACGGCCACAGATGTTCACGGCACTTGCCACAAAAAGAACTATAATATATATATATATATGTTTATTGCGTATATTGAGAGCTAGTCAAGTCAAGTCGATATAAAAGGGATTGGCTGCTCGATTAAATCCGGGCAGACCTGGACACATCTTAGTAGGAGGACACTTTGGAACTCTGAGGATCTCAGAGTTGTGTGTTCTTCAAATTTGACATAGGTTTGGGTGTTTGACCTCACCAATGGGCTGGGTCTATGCTGTCCGTTTTGGACAAGCTCACAGCTGTGTGGGCATGGTGCACATGAGGACGTCACAACCACAGGGTGAAGTCATGGATTCGCTGTTATGTTTTTCCTTTTGAGGGTATGATTTGGAAAGAAGTCTACGAGGAGGTCGTAGAAGGAGACTGTCTTCAACAAGTAAAGTGGGCCACCAGACCATCGTTTTCCAAGTGTTGTGGCTGTGGATTTCAGAATTATACAGCTGAACATGTCGAGGGACGTCTCTAAAATCCAAAGGACGATTCCATTCCTTTGCGCGATGCCTGATGATGAACCGTGTCTCGACTGCCAGCTACCCACATTGGAACATGCCCCTGTTCTTGGGCTCTAGTCATCAGACAGCACACTGTCACGGATTCAACAAATGTACCAACAGCAGCAGTGATTTGAACAGGGCAACTGAAGACACCTTCACATGTGGGTGTTTCAGCCATGTTTCAAGCCGAACGATTCAATCTCAAATTCAGTATCGTCCCATGTTCCGATCGATCAGAACAGACTTAGAAGCTTAGAAAACGGTTTTATACGGAAGATACATGAAGCTACCAATCTCCGTTTCGCAAGTTGGATGGACCAACCCACTTTCAGCTTGCCATCCGGGCGCAGCGCTGATCGCCCCGAGCATCGCATCCACCGCGAGTCAAGCCTGGCCGTTCGCCATGGAGATGAATGAGGAGTACTTGACGGCGCGGTTGGGGAAGATGTACATGGTTCCCAGCAACGAGGCAGGCCCTGGCAGCCGCAGTGAGAGATATGCTCGTTCTGTTGTGGTAGAAGTGGAGTAGAAGTGGGTGATTGATCAACCAGTGAGGAATGGATGCAAGTGCTGGAAGCTTGAAAGGTGTCCTGTCCTCTTACAGATTACACCCAATCATTGTCGTTGGCAAATTTGCAGCACTTCGGTTGAGGGTTCTGCAAAACACATGGCTCATTGTGATGATGTTGCAATTGAGATTCAGCTTCGAACCGTTGAGACTTGAGGGCGCACATTTCTGTGACATTATGAGAGTGAACACTTCAGGTGCACAAAACGCCCTTTCAACAGCCATATTATTTTTTGGCTTGTCCCATTTCCCCTACTAGAACACGCAAAAAGATACGTCCGTTTGCCAACTCCATGCCCCCCGACACCTCAGCTTCGCGCCTTCTTCCGCAAGCGGCAAAATTCCGCCTCAGGTGGTGACCACCTCCGAAGCGGCGGATAAGCACCTACGCGCCTTCGAGCAGGGCTGTGAGGAGTGGATGTCGTACCATTCCCAGCCGGTCGCTTGGAAAAGAACATGCATGAGTTGACCAGTGGATGGGAAGTTTAGAATTTGGATGAATTTGGGGTGGCGCGGGGGGGCTTGGTCAGTTGACATGTTGAGGCTGGACATAAAGCTGTGAAGTTGATGATTGAAACATTTTGGTTCAGATCGATTTGAAAGTTCTTGTTTGCTTCTTTGGGTGGCCACAGCTCCCGGCAAAAACACACACACGCACACACGTTGTTTTTGCTGGCATCAAGAGAAGCCCTGGCAAGGTCGCCGAAGAAGAGCTGGAGGACCACCGTCAGTTTCTTCGACCGATTGAAACCAGAGCCAAAGTTTCTTAAGACCTGCAGCTGGAAGATGCTCAAATTGTTCTGTACCCTGGGCGGTGACATTCAACTGCGCGACTGAGATTCCTAGGTGTGCATGGATCGCAAGAACAATCATTTTATATCATTTTATATAATTTGCCTATTCTCCTGTTAGTGGCTATCATTCAATGTGCATGCTCGAAAGCCATGAACCGGGATTCTTTTTTTGTGATAATGATGTGAGAGTGACCCAGAAACGTGCCGCTTTTGAACTCGCCCTGAACAGCACCCAACTCGGTTCTCAGGTTCGTGCTGTCTCTCTTGTCCGGTTCAGCAACTTGGTTTGGGCAGATGGCCGGGTCTATCCTTCTGGAGGTCTTCCATGTAGACAAGGCTCTCGAGTTCATCCATCCTTTTTTTTTCCTATGCTTGTGGTGTCGAGACGTACACATCCCAAACGTAGATTGCAGAAGTAGCAACCGGACCTAATTAATTAGGCCCATGGCCCAACTCCATAGATGGCCTTCATTCCAAGTATTCCAAATCTGCCGAAAGAGTGCCAAGCGCATTAGCCAAGGAGTTTAAGTCGGAGAAGGAATACGACAGTCGCAGCTCAGACATCAGATCTTTTGGTGTGCAAAGTGTTCGCAGTGTATTGATGTGCGTGTTGGAGTTTGATTTTACTTGCAAATGGATCTGGACCTTGACTAGCCGGCGTTCATTCAAGTTCAATCTTGGGATGGGGCTGTTTGCAGTTCGTTCTCAATGCGTATTCAATATCTTTGATTCTTTTCACATGGTTATGTTTGCAGAGGAGATTATCTTTCGTTTGCACTGCAGAAGCCACCCATCAGTGAAGCGAGCCCTTCGGGCCACGGTGCCGTTTCGTGGGTCTTTGTTTGCTCTAGCACACTTTCGTGGTGCAAGGGGGCAGACATCCTTACCAATAGAGGTTTGCAGTTGCTGTGTGTTTGCTCCTGAGCAATAGACATTGTGTATCATTGTGCATGTTGGTCAACAGCCTCATCAGTGTGATGTGTGGCTTAGACATGCAAGACTTATCAATTTTGCATACCACCAAAAGCATCCAAAAACAATGAACGGGTTTCAGCGACCAGGACTCCAAAAGAGCTCCTCAATCCATGCTGAAGCAGTTCGCACATGGTATGCATGAGGTATTCAGGCCGTTCGACGGGAGTTTAAGACCACGCTGTCAAAGCCACAGAGCCTTGGCCGCGGCGCGCCCGCAGACACGTCCGCTGCGATTGACAGGGCGCCCCAATGTAGACTCTTGATCAAAAGAAATCGTGTAAAACTTATTCAGGAGGGTTCTATCATTGATCAAGCGTCTACATTAAGGATGAAATGACATGTGACATGTGTGATAAGTTGTGGAGGTTCCATGCATCATGACTAGCTTGGGTGGTCGTGGGGGGTTGTGGAGGTTCCCTGATGAGTGAGCGATCCTTTTTCCCTTGGACTCACCGAACTTTTGGACCGCACCACTGTCGGTTGCTTACGTGTAGGGTTCTGACGCATCCCACCCCACCGACATCAGTAAGCAGTTTGGGTTCTGATGGAAAGGGCCTGGAAAGGCATCTTGGAACCTCGCCTCACTCAAGAGGTTTTCCAACTTAACTTTGCGAGAGACACTGCAAAACGCAACCAGACAACGCAGGGGTTCGTGCTTCCACGAGCTAAAATAAATCAAGACCACATGTGATCTTTGGTACCACAAAGCCGGGCCGACATCTAAACAATCCATCCCACTCACCTGCAGCTAACAAGAACAAGCTGGAACCAAACGTCGCCACATCAACTACCCTAATATGAAATCTACAACATTTTATAAACAGAGACGATACCAAAGACACGATGCCTCCAATGTCAAACTGTATAAGACTCCCCTCCAATGTCACAGTCCTGTCTTCGCCGGTGACAACGGGCCTCCGGAGGATCGTGCGAGCCTACTACAGACTGTTGGAGCAAAACCAGATCGCCAAGAACAGCTCCTTCGAGCCCTGACAGATGACAGGATCCATCAAGTTGTGGCTGGAGTTCACTGAGCCAACTCTTGTGGTTGGCGGATCCCCCCATCGAACACGAAGCCTTTGTGTGCGAAATCATAGTTTAAGTAGTTTAGATCTATGATCCAGCTGCAATGTTTTAAGCCCTGAGCAGCATCGATGGTTTGTGTTTGTTTGTTTGTGTTTTCAGGTGATTGGAGACACTTTTGTGCAGGTTTCAAAGTCCAAGTACCCTCTGAGAAAGTATATACTGTGTATGGATCCCTAGGGTACGATTCCATCGGCTATCGAGGCTGCGGGGGGGGTGTTTTGATTTCCAAGCGGTGCTTTTGTTGCACACCAAAAAGTGAGTGGAAACCAATCGTTCAATTGATTCCATGTCAAATGCTTTCTCAGCTATAGGCATGTTGAATAGTTATTGATTAGTTCTTGTTGTTTTTGATTTATCTGGGGGAGGTCAGTCATTTTTGGATTCATGGAACAGCACCAAGTCCTAGAACTTGTTGGCATTGTCGTATGTAGCGACGCACGATCCAACCCCAGTGAGAGTCGAGCTCTTGTAGAGCGTGATGTGAGCATGTATCTATTAGTCATTCAACATCTCTATCAATTGGTCCAGTCGGCAACGAAACAAAACGCATACTTCCCAACACCCCACACGCTATGATCTGTACAAACGAAACATCTTCTCACCACTATGCCTGTGCCATGGAAGAAACCATCTCACGTCGTGCAGAACATCAAGTGAAAAAGCCCCTAGTAGCATTCTTGTTCCTAGTAAGGCCAGGAACCCCTAATAGCGTCCTTGCTCCGTTCGTAGCGATGCCAGGAGCCCCGAACGTAGCATTCTTGTTACTACGTTCCAGCCATGCGATGCGAAAGGCTCGTCGCCTCTTCACGACCTCCCCAAGGAGCGGATCGCCACCAAGAAGTCGGTGCGCTCCAACTCCGGAGCGCCTCGGGTGATCTCGTGGGCCGGGGAGATGGGTGAAGGTGGGTGTTGGACCAAACAGCAAGGGATCTGTATGAACGAAAGGAGCCATCTTTTTTGAGTCCTGGTTGGGAATTTCACTGTTCAAAGGCTTCACAACCAATAAGTATTTGATGGCTGTTGTTGATATGGTTGTTTGGTCATACAGGTGGGCTTTACCAGCAAGGAAGGGTTGGAGGGTAAATGTTTGGAGATGCATTCTGTGCAACATGACGTCATCATGGATCTCTGTCCATATATTTTGCGAATGGAAGTGCAGCGACACGTACAGTGCAACTTGTACATATATATGTACCATATGTACTTTGGCTCAAGGATCAAGCGACTAGAAAAGGTGCGGTTTCCGTTCCGACGCTACGCCGCTTATGGACCGTCAGTGATAGCTTCAAACTTCGCTGATTAAGATCCACTCGCAGGTTATCAGCCGTACGCGCTCTTTATAGCCGTACGAGCTACACGAGACCAAGAACAAGACTAGTCATTACAGAAACCTGCAATGTCAAGCTCAGGAGGAAATGGAAGCGAACCCTATTCATTCGCTGCTCCTGGTGGTCCCAACACCATTTCGTCACCAGACTCTACAATGGGTACTGATTCATCAGCAAATGCTGACGTTATCACTATGCCTACTGGATCACAAATCTCGGAAAGATCCGTGCCACCGGCTCGGAATCTGACCGATCTTGCACCCGTAGGACCAAGAAGATCGATGAGAGCTACAACAAGATCTACATCGCCTATAACGTCTACCGCGAGATCCCCAAGAAGGAGTATAGAGAAGAGACGTGACGATGATAGAGGAACAAAAGAGCAAAGAAGAGAGATTCAGCTGGGTGAAGAATTGAGATGGGCGAGAAACGCATACAATTTTCTTCATGAAGAATATGAATGCATCCAAGCCGGATACTCACGACTACACCACGAGGCTGAAGTGGAGTTCAGGCAAATGTCTGACTACAACAGGAAGATGCAGGAACATCTACAAAAGATGACACAGGAAGATGAAGGAGCGACAATAAGAATTGAAGAGCTCGAACACAAGCTACGCTTGGCGGAATCGACAGCTGAACATATCTACATGAGATATCAAGAGCTTGCACAAGAAACTCATCAAGAACATTCAGAGCTTGAATCTGTGAAAGCAACGAAGGACAGAATGTCCCAAGAGCTTCAAGCAGCAATTGGACACATCCAAGAACAGAATGAATCTTCATTGGCGATCAATAGAAGATCAAAAGCCATTCAGGATGAGAACACAGCCTTCGTCGGAATAGCTGACCAGATACAAGCTAGAATGATTGCGCTACAGGATGAGAATGTCAACATGCACAAGGTGATCCAACACCAGAGAGAAGAACAATGGAACAGTGAGGTCAGGGAAAGACGTCTTCAACACAGTGTTCACTCATCTCAAGATCAGAGCAATCAGGAAGCTATGGTTATTGATCATCTACGAGGTCAACTAGCTATGGCACGTGGAGCTGAACTCAACGCGAGAGCGGAGATAGAAGAGATGGAAGTGGGCATGAGGATGGAGATATTTGTATGCCAGACTGAAGTCTCTGCTAAAGAAATGGCAGAAATGAAGGCGAGCCACCATGAATACGAAGCAAACGTCGCAAAGGAGGTTATCGCAAAAGGAGAAATATTCAACAACGAAGTCCTAGAAGGTTCCATCCGTGAACGACAACAGTTGAAAGACGCCAACCTCGCTCTATCCGAAGCCAACGCACAGCTGAAAAGAGAGAATATGATGAGAGCTCCTATGTTCGGCGATGATGGTGCTGAAATTCAACAGAAGATCAGAGAACTGGAGAATGCACTATTGGAAAGCCAGAAGGAGACAAAGAATGTCATTATGGAAAATGCGAAATTAAAAGCAGAAACACGAATGGCACCCATAGTCTCTCGGTACAGCAAGCGTCCTAGTTCCAGAGACCGCGGGTTACCAACCCACGCGTCCGAGGAAGATGAGATTCGGAACGCAAAAGAGGAGGCGAAGCACTACAAGGACGGGTACAATAAAATGACAGAGAGCCGAGATGAGATGTATGAATGGTATGCCGAAACCCACAATGAGTACGCCGAGGAAAGGGAGAAATCAATTGAGCTATCCGAGGCGAACAAATCATTGAGGGACAAGATTTCAGAAGCAGAAGCATCCTCTTCATCTCATCTTGCACCGGCAACCTCTACAATCATGAAAGTATCGAGGAAGGAAGAATCAAAGATAAACGTTCCGTCATGGCCCAGGATCAATGATCTTGGACTATGGAAGGCAAATCTCATTCAATCGATCATCATTGCGGCCAATGATTCAGATCAAGAGCCCTGGATCGACTGGATCAAAGAAGCCATGGACGATCCTGATCCGGACAAGTTTGTCGACTCAGGAGACCAAAGATTCCATTCAATCGATGCCAAACTCGGCCTAGCTCTTACCAAGGTCGTCATGGATGCGAAAGATGATGGTTCAGGTGTAGCTATGAAGTTGAGGACGAGGATCAATGCAAAAGGGAGAACATCAAGCCTCATAAAGGGAAGAGAGGTCCTAGCCCTGATCCTTATGAATTTCAAGACAACATCAAATGTGGAAGTCTTATATACTTCAATGCACCTCTACCAACTAGAATATCAAGGAGACAAGAACTTATCGTTGTTCTTCCACACTTGGGATGAGATTCTGGCAGGAATGAAGCCCGTTGACGTCCCGAGCGACGAAACTCTTCGGGATCTCCTATGGAGAAAGATCAGGAACTCAAACCTCATGGCATACGACATCAGCGCCTACAACAGCATGAACGACGATGATGCCAAGAAGACATACAAACATCTACGTGATATGATCAGAAGGCACATCGAACGGCAAACTGAAGACAGGATGATCCTGGAAAAGGAGAAGGCAGTGAAGAATGTGGCCAATATCTTTCAGAATCTCAAACCAGGCGGACCTGCTCCAAAACTGAAAGCTGCACCAGCTGATCCGAAGAAGAAACCAAAAGGGCAACAAGAACAGGTTGTCTCAGAAGACGCTGCTGCAGTGAAGCCGAAACCCAATCCCAAGAAGCATCCTGAAGACAAGAACAAAAAGGGAAAGGGGAAAGGTAAAGGTGATGGAAAGGATCGCAGCCGAAGTCCGAGTACAGACAAGAAGAAGATACCATGCAAATACTTCGTGAAAGGTAACTGCACTATGGGGAAAGATTGCCCATTCAGTCACAAGAAACCCAGATCACCATCCAGAGGATCTTCTGTCGGAAAGAATGACAAGCCAGTATGTTGGATGTGGATTCGAGGAACTTGTGACAAAGGGAAGGATTGCAAGTTCTACCATGACCCAAAAGCCTCTCCTAAGAAAGGGATATCTGCACCAGCTGACTCAGGAGACGATAGGCCAAAGCCCAAGGCAAAACCCAAACCGAAGCCTAAGGCGAAGCCTGGAGCCCCAGCCATTGACGGTGAACTCTTCATGGACGAATCCGAAGATGAAGGGATTGCTGCATCCGCCAAGGCAAGAGAAGGAGGTGCAAAAGTATCCTTTGATGAAGAGACTTGTGAGATCATGTTGAACGAAGCGATCTACTCAGTCAGGGACAAATGGAAGGTAGTAGAAAAGAAACCTCTACGTCCGGACATCAAACGATACGATGAGAAAGAGCTCACCTGCTACACGAGGAAAGAACAAATCAGATTTGAAGAAAAGGTCGCAGAGGCGAGAGGCATATTGATGGTCCCCTACACTGAGATCAAGAGGGTCCGAATACCAGTTGGACCAAAGGGTGACCTATCGGTCACTATGTCTTTTGACGAAGATGACGGCCTAGTTTTCCATCATAAAGTCATTCCTCATGTATGCGAGGGAAAGAAAGATCATGCAGACACAAAGACATTGTCTATTCCAGCCAAAGGGTCAAGAACGAAGTTCATCATGGACACAGGATGTGGATATGATTTGATATCGAAAGGCAGAGCCAAGAAATTAGGTCTGGAAGTGAGAGAAAGCGACCAATCAATGTCATTCTATACTGCAAATGGAGTGACATCCACAAAAGGAGTCGCCGACATTCATTTCGACGAATTTGACTCTACCTACTCCCCATTCGTCCTAGATGAGTCTCCTTCAGTACTGTCTGTTGGAAAGAAATGCATGGAGGAAGGATACACATTCATATGGCCAGCCTGCGGCAACCCGTACATGGTTTCCCCGAACTACAAGAAAATCATGTTAGAAGTAGAGGGAAACATCCCATATATTGTCAAGGGCAGTGACTTCTGTACTCCCACCGACGATACAAGGGCGGAGATGATCGCAAGGTTCACCCTAGGAGAAGATGAAGCTGATTACCAATCGACTTTCATCAACTGTGATGTGGATCCTCAAGGAATCATGTGTGATGATGACGACCTTCCTGTGATTGAGCCTCCAAAAGTCAAAAGGCGAAAGAGGAATAAGAAGTTCAAGGCATCTCCGGGAGAAGAAGATGAGGTAGGATCAGATGTCGCCGGAGACAGTGAACCAGAAGCTGACGATGATGATGCAGATGACATCGAGGTGGATGTTGTTGACGGTGCAAGTAGAATGGTGAGAAGAGGAACTCTGAAAGCAGATGCCAGGAAAATCGAGCATCTACTCACACATCGTTACAAGAATCCCTATTGTGAGTCATGCATCAGAGCAAAGATGAAACACTTCAAGACGCATCGAGGAGCGTTCAAGAGAAAGCTCAAAGCTTTTGGAGATCTGGTTACCTTTGATTTTGTCGATACGAGGAACATCCTTGATCAAGGGATCAGTACTGATCGAGAGATCTTCGTCATTCGTGACAGGTACACAGGCGTCATATGGACCTATCCGTCGAAAGAGAGGTTTACCAAGGACGTGGTCAATGCAATAAACCACTTCAAAGGATTGAAGAAGATCAAGATTGCTTATGCCGACAAAGCCCCAGAGTTTGAGACGGC